GCCCAAGTCTGACAAGAAGTAAAGAGCTTCTACCTCAACCAGTTGCTAGCTTTCAAGCTTCAACACCAAACCGGCCTTTTTAAAGGCCACCAAACTTAAAGTTCTATCTTTTTATCCTGCCTAGCAGGCATAGCTACGCTACTCAGAGCAAACCATGGGGGCCTAACACAACTAGCTAGCCTCGAGCTCGACTTGCAGTCCAAAATTGAAGCTTAATTTAGCTTTCAGCTGAGAGCCAATCAGAATTGAGTATTCTTCGAGCTCAATTTGAACACAATTTTTCAAGTTAGGTTGGCATTTTTGCTCGATCCACAACTCAACACCACTACAACTACATCTCTACAATGGCACCCAAAGTCAGCGGAAAGGCAGTCAAGAAGGCAGGCAAAGCCCAGAAGAAGCCCACTGGAGACAAGAAAAAGAAGAAGAAGAGGCGAGAGACCTACTCTCTCTACATCTACAAGGTGCTGAAGCAGGTCCACCCTGACACCGGCATCTCCTCCAAGGCTATGTCGATCATGAACAGCTTCGTGAACGACATCTTCGAGAGAATCGCCGGTGAAGCTTCAAAACTGGCCCACTACAACAAGCGATCAACCATCTCTAGCCGGGAGATCCAAACCGCAGTCAGACTGCTGTTGCCCGGAGAGCTGGCCAAGCATGCTGTCAGTGAGGGAACCAAGGCCGTCACCAAGTACACCAGCTCCAAGTAGACGACCAGCTTCTGCAACTAGTTGCTCTGAGCAACACCAAACCGGCCTTTTTAAAGGCCACCAAAAAGCATAGTTCTCTTTGTACTCTAGCTAGCAAGCTCAAATTGGCTTGTATGCAATTTCGAGCTCTCAAAAGCTAGCTTTGAGCATCTAATTTGAGCTACTAAGCTCAACTGAGCTTGTAACTTGCTTAAAATAGCTCCAGATCAATTTAAGAGCTAAAAGACAGCAGAATTTTAAGCTTTCACGTCTCAGCCAATCAGATTTGAGCTTCCTTGTGCTCTCTAACTTACAGCTCGAAATAGCTAAGTTTGAGCTTCCAAAGCTAGCTAACGAACCCAATTCAGCTAGGATAAGCTCAATTGAGTTTGTAGCTGGCTGACATTAGCTTTGGGTCAATTCTAGAGGCAGAAACACCAAATTTTCAACTTTTCACTTCTCAGCCAATCAGATTCGAGCTTAGTTTGAGCTTCCGCTATCACTCAGACACGGGCCAATCACCTATGCCGCTTTTGGCGGGTAACCTCCAACCCAAGTATAAATAGTCGGCACTTCACATACTTTACTATATATATAGTTGAAATTGCTCCTTAATATATATAAGTAACGACTCACCAGAGCTCTCCTTCTATTGCTCTTTTACAAGCCTAACTATTTTTTTATACATCGAGCGCTCTCAAGGCTTCTGGAGATCTGAATCTCTAGGTTACCTCACGGATTTTCACAAAATTTAACACCCAAAATCTACTTCTACATCTACAACTCAGCTACACTCAACTGACGAAGAATGGCCCGAACGAAGCAGACTGCACGAAAGAGTACCGGAGGAAAGGCACCCAGGAAGCAACTGGCTACCAAGGCTGCAAGGAAGAGCGCACCTTCCACCGGCGGTGTGAAGAAGCCTCACCGATACAGACCAGGAACCGTTGCCCTGAGGGAGATCAGGAGATACCAGAAGTCCACTGAGCTGTTGATCCGAAAGCTGCCCTTCCAGCGACTGGTCAGAGAAATCGCCCAGGACTTCAAGACTGACTTGCGGTTCCAGAGCACTGCCATCATGGCTCTGCAGGAAGCCAGCGAGAGCTACTTGGTCAGCCTGTTCGAGGACACCAACTTGTGCGCGATCCACGCCAAGAGAGTCACGATCATGCCCAAGGACATCCAGTTGGCTCGACGAATCCGAGGAGAGCGAGCTTAAGCTCAAGGTGTACTCCACACCAACCAAACCGGCCTTTTTAAAGGCCACCCAACTATAAGTTCTATAATTCTTCACATTGAGCCTCGCTCAAGCGGGCTTCGACCAGAGGAAGCTTGAGCTGGTCTAGGTTGAGCTCTGCTTCCCCCTCATTGGGGTGACGCAGCTGGAAAAAGAGCTCGAGCTAGCTGTTCAATTGCTCCCGTACGTAGCCTAACTTTTTTGAGCTTCGAGCTCGCAGAGCTCGGCAAGCTACCTCATAGAGCTCAGGCAAGCTTGTATAAGCTTGATTTAAATCACAGAGCTCGAATAAGCTCTGTCGACTGACCAGTTTAAGCTAGTACACCTTGTGTGAGCTCAAAATTTTTTCAATTGCTCCCGTACGTAGCCTAACTATTTTCAACTTAGAGCTCTCAGAGCTCGGCAAGCTATCTCACAGACCTCGAGCGAGCTTCTACGAGCTTGATTTAAATCACATAGCTCTGATAAGCTCTGTGGACTGACCAGTTTGAGGTAGAAGGTCTTGTGGGAGCTCAAAAAAAAAATTTCAATTGCTCCTTTACGTGCCTAACTTTTTTAAATACTTATTATCTGCTCTCTCATTGGCTGTTGGTATGAGGGCCAATCAGAGAGCAGAGAAGTCGGTCGAAAATTGATAGGTACCTAGCGATTTTTGCCAATCTCAAACCCAACTGCTACTTCAATTTCTACAACAACTACAACTGCAACAACCATGTCTGGACGAGGAAAGGGAGGAAAAGGACTTGGCAAAGGAGGAGCAAAGAGGCACCGAAAGATCTTAAGAGATAACATCCAAGGCATCACCAAGCCAGCCATCAGACGTCTTGCTCGACGAGGAGGTGTCAAGCGTATCAGTGGACTGATCTACGAAGAGACCCGAGGAGTGCTCAAGAACTACTTGGAGAGCGTGATCAGGGATGCTGTAACCTACACCGAGCACGCCAAGAGGAAGACCGTTGTAGCCATGGACATCGTCTACGCCCTCAAGAGACAAGGCAAGACCTTGTACGGATTCGGAGGTTAAGAAGCTTCTTAGCCAGCTGCTCTCCTAGCTGCAGCACCAAACCGGCCTTTTTAAAGGCCACCAACTATCTCAGTTCTTAAGTCAAGCTCTACTAGAGCTCTAACGAGCTCTGCTAGAGCTCTAACAAGCTCAGCTAGTTAGTGTAGAGTTTTCAGCGTATCTAAATTAACTTAAAATGCTAGCTCGATTCTGATTGGCTCTCCCATCTTGGTGGCCGATTTGAACTTACTACCCTAAGACAGGGAGCCAAATTGCGGGTAAAGTCAATCGTCAATCTACAGCTTCTACCACAACTACAACACGATGTCAGGCAAAGGAGGAAAATCGAAGAGCGGCAAAGTTGGAGCCAAGGCCAAGACCCGATCAAGCCGAGCTGGACTGCAGTTCCCTGTTGGAAGAATCCACCGATTCATCCGCAAGGGCAACTACGCTGAGCGAGTTGGTGCTGGAGCTCCAGTCTACCTTGCTGCTGTGCTCGAGTACTTGACTGCTGAGATCCTTGAGCTGGCTGGCAACGCTGCTAAAGACAACAAGAAGTCCAGGATCATCCCCAGACACTTGCAGTTGGCCATCAGGAACGACGAAGAGTTGAACAAGCTGCTCCACGGAGTGACCATTGCTCAGGGCGGTGTGCTGCCAAACATCCAGGCTGTGCTCCTACCCAAGAAGCAGTCTTCGTCTCAGCCCAAGTCTGACAAGAAGTAAAGAGCTTCTACCTCAACCAGTTGCTAGCTTTCAAGCTTCAACACCAAACCGGCCTTTTTAAAGGCCACCAAACTTAAAGTTCTATCTTTTTATCCTGCCTAGCAGGCATAGCTACGCTACTCAGAGCAAACCATGGGGGCCTAACACAACTAGCTAGCCTCGAGCTCGACTTGCAGTCCAAAATTGAAGCTTAATTTAGCTTTCAGCTGAGAGCCAATCAGAATTGAGTATTCTTCGAGCTCAATTTGAACACAATTTTTCAAGTTAGGTTGGCATTTTTGCTCGATCCACAACTCAACACCACTACAACTACATCTCTACAATGGCACCCAAAGTCAGCGGAAAGGCAGTCAAGAAGGCAGGCAAAGCCCAGAAGAAGCCCACTGGAGACAAGAAAAAGAAGAAGAAGAGGCGAGAGACCTACTCTCTCTACATCTACAAGGTGCTGAAGCAGGTCCACCCTGACACCGGCATCTCCTCCAAGGCTATGTCGATCATGAACAGCTTCGTGAACGACATCTTCGAGAGAATCGCCGGTGAAGCTTCAAAACTGGCCCACTACAACAAGCGATCAACCATCTCTAGCCGGGAGATCCAAACCGCAGTCAGACTGCTGTTGCCCGGAGAGCTGGCCAAGCATGCTGTCAGTGAGGGAACCAAGGCCGTCACCAAGTACACCAGCTCCAAGTAGACGACCAGCTTCTGCAACTAGTTGCTCTGAGCAACACCAAACCGGCCTTTTTAAAGGCCACCAAAAAGCATAGTTCTCTTTGTACTCTAGCTAGCAAGCTCAAATTGGCTTGTATGCAATTTCGAGCTCTCAAAAGCTAGCTTTGAGCATCTAATTTGAGCTACTAAGCTCAACTGAGCTTGTAACTTGCTTAAAATAGCTCCAGATCAATTTAAGAGCTAAAAGACAGCAGAATTTTAAGCTTTCACGTCTCAGCCAATCAGATTTGAGCTTCCTTGTGCTCTCTAACTTACAGCTCGAAATAGCTAAGTTTGAGCTTCCAAAGCTAGCTAACGAACCCAATTCAGCTAGGATAAGCTCAATTGAGTTTGTAGCTGGCTGACATTAGCTTTGGGTCAATTCTAGAGGCAGAAACACCAAATTTTCAACTTTTCACTTCTCAGCCAATCAGATTCGAGCTTAGTTTGAGCTTCCGCTATCACTCAGACACGGGCCAATCACCTATGCCGCTTTTGGCGGGTAACCTCCAACCCAAGTATAAATAGTCGGCACTTCACATACTTTACTATATATATAGTTGAAATTGCTCCTTAATATATATAAGTAACGACTCACCAGAGCTCTCCTTCTATTGCTCTTTTACAAGCCTAACTATTTTTTTATACATCGAGCGCTCTCAAGGCTTCTGGAGATCTGAATCTCTAGGTTACCTCACGGATTTTCACAAAATTTAACACCCAAAATCTACTTCTACATCTACAACTCAGCTACACTCAACTGACGAAGAATGGCCCGAACGAAGCAGACTGCACGAAAGAGTACCGGAGGAAAGGCACCCAGGAAGCAACTGGCTACCAAGGCTGCAAGGAAGAGCGCACCTTCCACCGGCGGTGTGAAGAAGCCTCACCGATACAGACCAGGAACCGTTGCCCTGAGGGAGATCAGGAGATACCAGAAGTCCACTGAGCTGTTGATCCGAAAGCTGCCCTTCCAGCGACTGGTCAGAGAAATCGCCCAGGACTTCAAGACTGACTTGCGGTTCCAGAGCACTGCCATCATGGCTCTGCAGGAAGCCAGCGAGAGCTACTTGGTCAGCCTGTTCGAGGACACCAACTTGTGCGCGATCCACGCCAAGAGAGTCACGATCATGCCCAAGGACATCCAGTTGGCTCGACGAATCCGAGGAGAGCGAGCTTAAGCTCAAGGTGTACTCCACACCAACCAAACCGGCCTTTTTAAAGGCCACCCAACTATAAGTTCTATAATTCTTCACATTGAGCCTCGCTCAAGCGGGCTTCGACCAGAGGAAGCTTGAGCTGGTCTAGGTTGAGCTCTGCTTCCCCCTCATTGGGGTGACGCAGCTGGAAAAAGAGCTCGAGCTAGCTGTTCAATTGCTCCCGTACGTAGCCTAACTTTTTTGAGCTTCGAGCTCGCAGAGCTCGGCAAGCTACCTCATAGAGCTCAGGCAAGCTTGTATAAGCTTGATTTAAATCACAGAGCTCGAATAAGCTCTGTCGACTGACCAGTTTAAGCTAGTACACCTTGTGTGAGCTCAAAATTTTTTCAATTGCTCCCGTACGTAGCCTAACTATTTTCAACTTAGAGCTCTCAGAGCTCGGCAAGCTATCTCACAGACCTCGAGCGAGCTTCTACGAGCTTGATTTAAATCACATAGCTCTGATAAGCTCTGTGGACTGACCAGTTTGAGGTAGAAGGTCTTGTGGGAGCTCAAAAAAAAAATTTCAATTGCTCCTTTACGTGCCTAACTTTTTTAAATACTTATTATCTGCTCTCTCATTGGCTGTTGGTATGAGGGCCAATCAGAGAGCAGAGAAGTCGGTCGAAAATTGATAGGTACCTAGCGATTTTTGCCAATCTCAAACCCAACTGCTACTTCAATTTCTACAACAACTACAACTGCAACAACCATGTCTGGACGAGGAAAGGGAGGAAAAGGACTTGGCAAAGGAGGAGCAAAGAGGCACCGAAAGATCTTAAGAGATAACATCCAAGGCATCACCAAGCCAGCCATCAGACGTCTTGCTCGACGAGGAGGTGTCAAGCGTATCAGTGGACTGATCTACGAAGAGACCCGAGGAGTGCTCAAGAACTACTTGGAGAGCGTGATCAGGGATGCTGTAACCTACACCGAGCACGCCAAGAGGAAGACCGTTGTAGCCATGGACATCGTCTACGCCCTCAAGAGACAAGGCAAGACCTTGTACGGATTCGGAGGTTAAGAAGCTTCTTAGCCAGCTGCTCTCCTAGCTGCAGCACCAAACCGGCCTTTTTAAAGGCCACCAACTATCTCAGTTCTTAAGTCAAGCTCTACTAGAGCTCTAACGAGCTCTGCTAGAGCTCTAACAAGCTCAGCTAGTTAGTGTAGAGTTTTCAGCGTATCTAAATTAACTTAAAATGCTAGCTCGATTCTGATTGGCTCTCCCATCTTGGTGGCCGATTTGAACTTACTACCCTAAGACAGGGAGCCAAATTGCGGGTAAAGTCAATCGTCAATCTACAGCTTCTACCACAACTACAACACGATGTCAGGCAAAGGAGGAAAATCGAAGAGCGGCAAAGT